GCGCACGCACATGCACACGTACACGCAGACACGCACGTGCGTGCACACAGACAGACAAACACACGGTGGCAGACAGGCAGGCAGGCAGGCAGGCAGGCAGGCAGACAGACACATGGAGACAGACAGAGACAGACAGACAGACACAGACAGACACAGACAGAGACAGACAGAAAAAGAGACAGACACAGACAGACAAAGACGGACACAGACAGACAAAGACAGACAGACGGAAAGAGATATACAGACAGATACAGACAGATACAGACAGACAGACAAAGACAGACAAACAAAGACAGACTAAGAGAGAGACAGACACAGATAGACAGAGACAGACACACGCAGACAGACACGCAAAGACACAGACAAACACAGATGGACACAGACAGACACTGAGAGGCACCAGCAGACACAGACAGACCTACACTCTCAGAGACACAGAGACTCAGAGAGAGACATTCAGGGAGACACAGAGACACAGGGAGAGACACACAGAGACACACATAGAGACACAGAGAGACACACAGAGAGACACAGACGTGTTAAAAACCCTACAGAGAGACACTCACAGAGAGACACTGAGAGACACTCACGAAGAGACAGAAGACAATTCTCTTCCTTGCTCCATATCCGCAACCAAGGAGCCATCCGTCACGACATGGGCCTCCACCTCGTGGTTTGGCACCGCCTCCCCCAGGGTGTGGTTTTCGAGGATTCGGGGTGTTCGGGGTTTGGACTTAGGGTCTTAGGGTCTATAGGAGGTTTTGGAGATGTTCCGGATTTGAAGGTTGAACAATGTTGAAGGGTTTGCGTAGGCACCTCCTCCGCACAGCGGGCGGTGGCGATATCCAGCAGCATAGGCTCCTGCGAATCACGCTCCGCGACCTTGGAGCAAAAACCCCCAACTGGGATTGCAAAGCTCAATCTCAGACTCTCGGCATCACGTCACTCAGCTTGCGGCCGCTACGCTTTCCTCGAAGCAACACCAGATCCTTGTCAAAGCCGTCGTATCCACGTCCAGGATCAAGACGACTCCGCAGCAAAGCTTCATCGCCTTGTAGAAGGATGTTTTGCAGGGATCGTCTGAGATTTCCTGCTCCAGCTCGTGCTGATTATTTGCGTATGCGCAAATCCAATAGGATGTGCTGCATGGCAGGCCCCGCACTGCCGCATGCTTCCTGAGACAAGTCACGAAGTTTGGCACAGGCTCGCTCCAGGGATGCGATACGAACCATGTGGGGCGTTGAGCCTCAGCTGATTTTGCGACCATCTCGACATAGCTGCATCCTCGTCCATGGCCTCCGTAGTCAGCAGTCGCTGGGCCAATTACCCAGAAGGCTGCATGATACAAGTTGAACGTGGCGTATTGCAAGCCACAGCCCCTCTGGGGGCCAAAGGTCTCCACCCAGTGGGCAGCCATGTCCTGCAGGAAGGTTAACAGACAGTCCAGCTGAACCAGGGAGATGCCTCGATGTTCCGTGGCGGGTATTGTGCACACGTTCGGAGCTGCGAGCACCGAGAAGTTTGCCACAGTGATCTTGCTGGTGCCATCAATCTCCAAGGCTTCCCGAACAAATGCG